TCTGATGGCGATTGCGCGTGCATCAAGGGGAGTGGGTGGGATGTCAGCTACTTTTTGTTTTGCACACACACACACACACACACACACACACACACACACACACACACACACACACACAACGGCAAGCACGTGTGCTTCGGCTGCTTCTTCTTCTTCTTCTTCTTCTTCTTCTTCTTTCTTCATCATCATCATCGCTGGTCGTTGGCTATCGCTTCATGGATCAGATTGGCAGGCATGGGTAACGTGGCAATGTGTGCCCGTGTGGCTGATGGCACAAGTGAAGCCAAGCCAAGCCGCAACGACAATCACAACATGCAGCTCTTGGATTTTGTGCATACGCGCAACCTGTCCCATTTCAACTGTCACAGTTCCCACGCCTCCAACGCTTCCCTTGCGACAAGACGAGCAGCTGCTCCGCCCTTGTCCCCAGTCACACCACACTGCAAAAGGGAATGATCGTGATCACAGTAGCCACGTCCTTTCCCATGGACTGGTCCCTCCATCGACGCACACAGGGACTCGACACCACCAACCACCTCGCTTCAGGGCTCCATCAACTCACCCACAAGCTTGAGAGCTACTGGACAGCCTTGTGTGCATGGTCAAGCTCGATCAAGATACGGAGACGGAGAATCGCGACTCTGCGTGTCCCATTCTCCGTTCACCCCTTACTTCTCATGGCTGGTGCTGGCGCTGGCGCTGGCGCCGAGTCGAGGCAAGGGGCTCCACGCCTTGCCCGTTCAGCTTCTTGACCGTGCAACAGCATCTTGCATGCGCACATGCCGTGTGGGCTGCTCTGACGCCAAGGCCGTCACGGCCAACCTACTTGTGGTCGACGGGTCGATCAGAATAGCATTTTACAGATCAACCGATCCAGCTCAACATCAACAACAACAACCAGTCGTTATACCACAAACTCTCTTTGTTTGCTAGTTACCCTATTCGTGTTTGCTTTGCCTTTTGAACGTTACAGCGTTACACAGATCAAGCATCATGGCGACCCCAATGGAGCAGAACACTCGTGTTACCAACACGCTCGAGAACAACACCTTTGCCTCTGATGGCAAGGCTGCTGCCAACCATGCCGAGAACGCCAAGATCAATTCCAAGGCCGCCGTTCGCGAGGCCGGCGAGGCCATCAAGTCTGGTGCCCGTGAGGCCCGTGACGAGGCCGGTAACCGTATGGAGCAGGCCAAGGAGCAAGCTTCTGCACAGGCTCAGTCCATGAAGAACTCCGTCGAGGCCAAGGCCGACTCGGTGGCCGACTCACTGAACCAGTCATATGAGAACGCCAAGGACAACGTCGTGGACGGATACCAGTCCACCAAGCAGTCAATCAACGAGAAGACCGAGCGCGCCAAGGTCGAGGCCAGCAACCAGGCCACGGCTGCCAAGGAAAGCATCAAGGAGGGCGCCGAGCAGGTGCGCGACTACGCGGCCGAGAAGGCCGGCCAAGCCAAGGAAGCCATTGAGCGCAACGCCTCCAAGGCCTCAGCCAAGGCCACTGAAATCAAGGAAGAGGCCAAGGCCAAGGCCATTGATGCCAAGGACACCACCGTGGCCAAGGCCACTGAGATGAAGGAGAGCGCCAAGATCAAGGGCCAGGAGCTCAAGGAGGACGCCATCGAGGCCAAGGATCAGGCCAAGCAGGCCATCCACGAGAAGGCGGCCACTCAGGACGCCATCGAGCCCGAGAGCGCCGGCGCTGTCGTCATGCCCCAGGATTTGCGCGAGACACTCCAGGCGGCCAGCGAAGAGGAGCGTGCTGCTGCTCGCAACAAGCTGGCTGAGGCTCGTGAGGACCTGGCCTCGGCCCGCACGCACATTCGTGTGGCCCAGGAGGCTCGTGAGCAGGCTTCTTTTGGCTCTACCAACGCTGAGGTCGCCACCGGTGTGACTGGCCCCACCTTGGACGATCGTGCCGCCCCCGAATTTACGGGCAACACCACTGACCCCTCAGTCCTGGACAAGGCCTCTGAGAAGGCGACCTACGCCAAGGAGTCCATCAAGGAATCGGCTCACAATGCCAAGGAGGTGATCAAGGACAAGGCTGAAGACATTGAGGAGGCCATCATTGATACCTACGAGTCGGCCCGTGACAAGCTCTCCAACGTACGTACCATTGCCTTGGCGTGTTTGTGTGTGTTGCTTTCTCTCTCTCCCTCCCTCTCTCTCTTTCTCTCGCTTTTTTTTTGAACGAGAACACGCGCGATTTGACGTTTCTCTGACCTTGTTGCTCTGCATGCTCTTTTATTGTGGGTGCGTTGACAGGTGTCCTCGGCAACCGAGCCCGAGCATAGCGAGGCCCAGGACAACATGGTCGAGGCCAAGGAAGAAGCCCAGGAAGGTGGTCACAACGCCTTCGAGACTGTCCGCGAGGGCATGTCCAACGCTGCCACCACCATTTCAGAGGCCGTGTCGAGTGCCTACGAGCATGCCAAGGAGGCCGTCAGTCACATTGGCGCCGGTGCCGATGAGGCTGGTGAAGAGGCCAAGGCGGCCGGTCAGGAGCTGAAGGAGGGTGCCAAGGAGGCTGGTGCAGAGGCCAAGATGGCCTCCAAGGGCGCATCAGCTGAGGCGCAATACCACGGTGGCAACGCTGCCGATGCTGCCTCGGACGCGGCATCAGCTGAACGCGACGCCGTTACGGACGCTGTGTCAGCTCTGTAAGCGGGCTCGTCGTAACCTTGCCCTGAATGCCTCTTGATGCTCTCAAAAAGGCGTTTAGCTTGTGTTCCGCGCCCGTGTGATTGCGCTTGTGTGTGTGTGTGCGTGTGTGTTACATTTTCCCCTCGTTTCTTGGTGGTCCACACTGCGTGTGCGATAGCCCAACCGACCTCCACCCGCTCTGCGCACTTTTGTGTGTGTGTATGTGTACTTACGCCATGGCGGGTGCTTCTCGATCCTTTGCGGGCCAAGCCCAAGTGTTTCTGTCAAGTGTCGATTCCTTCCAGCCGACATTGAAGCACAAATTGATCCTTTATATCCATAACGCCTGTGCCTTTCTCTTGCCCTGCCCTTTCTCCCCCATGTCATGTACACTCGCCGATGAACAGCATGCCGTGCTCTGGTGTCGAGCGAGGCAGGTGGTTGCAACTATGGGGCCGTTGCCGGTCCCTCCCCAAGTAAAATACTTTACTATCACAATAGTAAAATACTTTTTACCTGACAAATGTCAGATCTTTGGTGTGAGAGATTGTGAATAAGTTTGACCATGAAATATCAGTGCTTGAACTATTCAAGCCAAGCTCATCACACTCAACGCTAACGACGTGCGTGCGCGTCCGCTGTGCCTGCCGACGGCTCCAGTCAATATTCGACTGGCGGCGGTCAGTATTGGTTCACCGGCGATTGACCCAGGGTCTCTGTGCCCTGATCGTCTCCACCGCCGTGAACACTCGCCTCTGCCGTACCAAGACCAAAGCGGTCAACACCAATATCGCACTCAACCCAAGAACCTGCTACCAACTGTCAGAACTAATATCAAGTGGTAATTTCTTGTCAAAGTCATTCAGGTAAAATAGACTCGAAACAAAAGAATGTGTGAGAGAGAGCGAGAGCGAGAGAGAGAGAGAGAGAGAGTGTGTGTGTGTGTGGACCACTGGGTTGGAAACGGCAGCGCCATCCAGACTGAGCTGAGAGCCTCTCTGGCTTGGTACATGAATGCACTGCCGTGGCGCGTCCTTCTGGTGTGCTGGCCTGGTCTTGTTGTCTTGCCTTTGACTGCCTTGGCCAGCAGGGGAATCTTGACCATGGTGCGATCAAGAAGAGAGAGAGAGAGAGAGAGAGAGAGAGAGAGAGAGAGAGAGAGAGAGAGAGAGAGAGAGAGACAGAGAGAGAGAGAGACAGAGGGAGAGAGAGACAGACAGAGAGAGAGACAGAGAGAGAGAGAGAGAGAGAGAGAGAGAGAGAGAGAGAGAGAGAGAGAGAGAGAGAGAGAGAGAGAGAGAGAGAGACAGAGAGACAGAGAGAGAGAGAGAGACACACACACTCGGGTTGAACGAGGTGAAATGGCAGCGCTGGGCTTTGGATGTCCAATTGGATTTGTGTATTCGACTGGACTAGGGCGAATCCATCGGGCCAGGGTTCACGCTGGCCTCGCAGGCCCCGTGTGCACGAATGCTTGTTTCAATGCGCCATTGTTGTTTGATGAAACAAGTCTTTTCGATCGGCTTCTCACTCATGCGCCTTCTGACCTCCTCCTCCTTCGCCTCCTCCGCCGCCTCCTTCTCTCTCCGGTTTCCCACATGATAGTGCCTGGTTTTGTCTTTGACGATTGCCCACCATGGCCGACATTCACCCCATTGAAATCCTCATCGAGGAGCTGCAGGACGAAGATGTTCAGGTTAGACAAATCGACTTTTGTGCCCATGACGATTTCGCTGGCGGCTCCCTGCCATGCCTCCTTTCTCGAGCGACTCAACTCATTGCTCTTGGGCCTCTTTCTACTGCGGCCGCCGACTACTTGAGTAGAATCGCTTGAACTCGGTCAAGCGCCTTTCCACCATCGCCCTGGCCCTTGGCGAGAAAGACACTCGCGATGAGCTTCTTCCATTCCTCCGCGGTCAGTCTCCTTTAACCTCGCGTCCAACAAGGCAGACCACTTGCCTGACGTTTGCATGTCAGCACGAGGCCTCACACCCCATGTACTTTGCTTCCTATTGCAGACAAGCTTGATGATGAGGATGAAGTGCGCTTGGCCGTGGCTCAAGAGGTGAGCCCAACCCCCCGCTTTGCCATGTCCAGGGAAACGCAACAACGCCCGCTCGCTCTCGCTCGGGCAACCCAGCAGAAACGCCTGGTCTTGTGGTCAACGATTCACATCCAAGGGCCCAGCGAAAACCCTCACACGCGCGCGTTTCTTTCTTGTTGAAACAATGCGGCGTCGTCTTTTTAATAGCTCGCAAAATTTGTGCCCCTGGTGGGCGGCGAAGCCCATGCGCGCACCATCTTGCCCCCCCTTGAGCAGCTGGCCAACATCGATGAGATTGTTGTTCGCCAAAAAGCCGTCGAGTCAATGAACATCATCTGCCTGGCCATGCCTGACACACACATTGTCTCCGACTTTGTGCCGTGCGTCGATCGCCTTTCCACTGGTACGCACGCCGAATTTTCCCCGATTCTCGTCATTGAGCGACGCCTTGTAGACTTCAACGGCGAGATAATCTCACCGCGCAATCGCTTTGGCCCGCTACCTACCTCCGTAGCCGAGTTTTTCTCGCCTCGCGCCTCGGCCTGCGGTCTGATTGCCACTCCATACATGCGTACATCTGAGGATGCGCGCTCCATCCTTCGCCAGATTTTCTCCAACCTCTGCCGTGACGAGACTCCCATGGTGCGCCGCGCCGCTGCGGCTGCGCTCAAGGACATCTTGCCTCACGCCACGCCGCAAGTCACGGCCTCGGAAATCTTCCCACTGTTTGAGATGTTGGTCAAGGATGATCAAGACTCCGTCCGCCTCCTTGCCGTTTCTGCTGCCCCTGCACTCCTCACGCAACTCAACAGCATTGGTCAAGGCGGAGTTGTCATTGCCTCTCTCAACGCTGCCTCCAAGGACCGCAGCTGGAAAGTGCGCAATGCTGTGGCAGAGGCCTTCCCTGATGCCCAGGCTGCTGTCCCTAGCGAGCAGCTCAAGGCCGAGCTCGTCCCCCTTCTCATTCGCCTTCTCAAGGACCAAGAGGCTGAGGTCCGCACTCACGCCGTCTTTCAGCTGCCCAAGGTTGGCGCGGCCCTTCCCGAGGCTGATCGTCGCGTCCTCTTCCTGACCAACTTCACCACCCTCATCAACGATATCGCGGGTGATACCAACGAGATGTGCGTTCAACTCTTGTTTCAACCCCGCCATCAGCCTGCTAGCCCTGCTACGAGCCTACCTACTCTGTTTGCCAACTCACATGCTGGTTCCTGCACGCTCGAATCAGGAACAACCACGTTCGTGCGGCCCTCTCTGGCGTTATTCCCCAGCTCGCTGCCCCCTTTGGCCGCGACAAGACGATGGAGCACCTCATCCCCATCATTGCCAAGCTGCTCAAGGACCCGGTATGTTTCACACCTGCTTTGACGAACTTGCGCTCGCGCCCGTTGCGAGTTTTCTTTGTTTCTTTTTAAGGGGCTGCTGCCAAGTTTGCCGCAACTCCTGCGCTCACAATGTTGCTGATGACACCACCCGCACTACTTATTTTCCCCCGCACAACCTGCTGACATAGTTTGCTGAGGTTCGCCTCAACGTGGTTTCCAAGATCCACATGCTGCAAGACGTCATCGGTGGCGATCAAATCGCAGTTGCTCTTGTTCCCAGCATTGTCAGCCTTGCAGGCGATAGCCAGTGGCGTGTGCGTCTGGCCATTGTCGAGCAACTTCCCGTGTTTGCTGGCTGCGTCGGCGCATCGCAATTCGATGCACGCCTGATGCCCGTTGTCATGGTAAGCTCCTTGCCACTGATGTAAATGGTCTGGCCCTTTTGGGCTCTAACACACTGCGCTCACGCTGCTGGCCCGGTGTATCTGCCTCGCTAGTCTTGGTTGAGCGACAACATCTTTGCCGTCCGCGACAGCACGATCAAACAACTTCCCGGCTTGGTACAGAAGCTGGGCAACAGCTGGGCCAACAAGACCCTGGTCCCCCGCATCGTCGCTCTCAGCAACGAACAGTCCTATCTGCGCCGTCTCACCGGCCTGTTTGCTTTCAAGGTCCGTCTTGATACCGTGCCGTGTTTGTCGTTCAGTACAGTGCCACTATGCTGTTCCTCACAAGCTGTGTGTGGGGGGTTGATGTCTATCTCTTTCTTTAGTCGACTGTTGCAGTCCTGGACGCAAGCACGATCAGCAAGGACGTGTTGCCTGCCATCCTGCGAAGGGCCACCGACCCTGTGCCCAATATTCGCTTCAACGTGGCCCAGGTTCTTGGCGAGATCAAGCGCAGCTTTGACAAGAGGTGAGCACCCCCCCCCTCCTTTTTTTTTTCCCTATTTCATTTCCCCCGGGTTGCTTGAGTCACTTGTTCCTCAACCCCTATCATTTTTCATTGCTCGCCACGCCTTGCTCTATCTCCCTGTTCAGCGCAATCACTAGCAAGGTCAAGCCGGCTCTGGATCAACTTGCAGCGGACTCGGATCCTGATGTCAAGTTTTTCGCCCAACGTGCTCAGAACTAGTCGTATTATGTTGCGTATGTGCACTATGTGTCTCTGTGTGCCAGAGTAAACACAATCATGTTTTCTTTTCTTCATCTGGCTGGCGCTGGTTCTTCTCATTTTCTGGGTCTCGTTTTTGTGTTCAAAAGTTGAGGTGTCGTCTTTTCGGTGTGCCTTCCCACACCACATTGCTCTGTGATTGACACCGCCCCCATCGCCTTGACTTTGCTGTGCCTTTGTCATTGCCGAATGATGTCCTTCTTTTCTTTCTTCTTTGATCTTCCTTCCACGTTTTGACCGCCAGCCGTCTTGTTTAAACGTTTGGGCGTTGCCGACACTCGAGTCGTTTTGAAATTGACTGCAGACATAACAATCAACAGCCCTCCATTGCATTTAAAGCATGTGGTGCATCCAAGTATCGAGGCCACGGCCGCGCTCAGCGCAAAGCCCATGCTCCGAGGTACCGTTTGCACCTGCACATGGGGCTCAGATCACAAATGGCGCCAGCGTGCGAATGCCGTGGCAGGGGTGATCAGTGGTGCAGTGGTTTCTGCCTCCTTGGCTGGGCTCTCGCTGTATAAATCTACTAAAAAGGCGTGCTTGGCTCTCGTTAGGCGTTGCAAGCGCTCACTCCACCCCGGGGGTGGCGCGCGACACAACAGCTCGCCCACGTCGCTCGAGCACAGATGGCCCAGCTGTACGGGTTCACCTTCATGATCCTGGTCCTGCGCTTGTGCCTGGTCTGAAATGGGGTGGCTGAGCGTCGTTGCCAAGAGTGGATGTGCGTCTGCGACTTGAAATAGGTGAAGGAGTGCGGCAAATGTCCGTTCGGAATTGCCGCGCAAAGAAACCTCGCCAGGCAACTGGACGAGGGCTTGCTCTTGCAATCTTGTTAAGGGAAGTGCGTTGATCGTGAGATGAACTAATGGGGGAACGGCAGGGCGCGTCTTTCAGCGACAAGCCACGACCGATAGGTCTCGTACCGCAGCCAGGCCATGGGCGTGAAGAATCCCTGCATCGTGATTGTTGCGGGTATCTTGCGTGAGCGACGAGTCTTGGAGGCATCTCCACTCATTGCACTCTCCCGATATGTCAGGGTTGGCAACTACCAAGTTGATTGCAAATGCAGCAGTGGCAGGGGTATGAGATGCTCGTACAGGTAGTCGGGGAGGCGAGCCCAAGACGCTCGTTGGCCGCGGTGGCAACTGCGTGACCAAGGCTGACCTGAAGCTGGGCGTGAAGGAAGGGTACGTCGGCAACGAGACGCGGCGGGATGGTTTGCTTGCTGTTAAAGAAAAGGAGAAGTATTGGCCAGAATTATCACATCAGTTTCTCTCAAGTCCGCGAAGATGCAGGCTCGAGCAATCTGGAGGTGAGAAGCGCCATGCTGATGCAACACGACTCGGAAGCGTACGCACATGGCAGAATCACTGAGATAGTGGCGATTGAGCAGTAGATTGCCCAGTGCATGGATGCTGTCGGCGCCATAAACCACGGCAGCTGAGCCAAGCGCCGAAGTTGGAGCGGGCTCTTTGTCGTCGGCACTCTGACGCCACAACAAAGGTCAAAGGGCACGGTCAGTCTTTGCAGATGGCAGGTGACGCATGGACTGGCAAAGCGCCAGAATCGAGGCTTTGAGAGCTGGTGTCCTCACGTACGAGCTCAAGTCCCTCGACCACAACGCGCGGCTTGCGTCGCCTGGAGGAACGACGGGGCGACGCTGAGCCCGGCAAGGGCTGGGCCGTAGTCTGGCTAAGTTCTTGATAGGTTTTGAAGGTCACGCCTATTCATATGCGTGCCAACAATAGATGAGACATGGCCAGCACGAAGCGGCAGGGAAGGCAAGCTGATGGTGCATTCCATCAAGTGCTCACCGTGAGCGCGCATGCGCTGGCGAAAGCCTTCTTTTGTGGCCGCAAGGTACGCCCGGGGCTGTGACTGGCCTCCGATAGAAGCCGAGCTGGGCGATGGTCAAAGCGCAGTTTACAAGCAACATGCGTGAGACAAGTGCACGTCAAAGCCATGAGAAAAGAGCAAGACAAAAATCAAACCGCACCAAAACATGGCGTGGAGGGATTTGCAGTTGACAAAAAAGTAGGGCACTGCGCCTTGCAAAAGAAGGTCCAACAGAGACGTCAAGGCGGCTCGAAATTGTTCGACAAGCACAGGGAGCATTTTCTATCACAGCACGGGCTTGGTGAGCCTTTGGCAATCACGCGCGCGATTCAGCAAGACAAAGGAGAAGCCTGGGTGTTGTGTAAGCAATTGCAAGGTACCTGAAAGACGTCTGGAAGTGAATCTTCGCTCACGGCAAGGGTCTACATGCAGATGAGATGTGAGGTTGACCTGATATGCCGCTGTCGCCGTTGTGTCTATGTCCAGGGAAGATATTTGTAAAGGGCCGAAGGGAGCCTGGCAGGACGTACCTGAAGTTCGTCGAGGGGTGGAAAAGCATACGTATGGGAGGCTTGCAGCAGCGCCGTGGCCAGGCTGGCATCCTCGGTTGGACACCCGCCGAGGCGACGCAGCACTGCATTCACGGCGGTGTCGCGATCATGGGTGACATTTGGCATGTCAACTGACGAGGACAGTTGGACACTATTCATGAGTCGCGGGTCGAGTCCACTCGAGAGCCAGCTCATTGTGAGGTGATCCGTGGAGGGATCAGCCAAAGCTGATTCGCCATGTTCTAAGAGGACCAGCGCGAGTGTCATGAGGTGAGGTGGTACGGTCGAGAGGAAGAGCAAGGCCAGCCAGCTCCGTGGGCGCCCTTGTACCTGGGTCGGAAGCCTGCGCCCTAAGGCGTTGTCTTTGAAGCACGCGCTGATATTGCCCCTGTTCGTTGCCATCGCAGGAACAGAGAGAAACAAGAAAAGAAAAATTCACATGAACAAATGTATCAGCAACAACAACGATGGTTACGACAGCAACAATGTATCGAGGAGACAGTGGATGAGTTGTGCTGAGAACTCGGCTGGGCCGTGTGAGACTCGACAAGGCACGCTCATTGTGAGTATCTGGGCCCCGATTAGTTCAGCCTCGTGTCATTGTCAAGGAAAAGAAAGAAGAAAATAACAAGACTCACCTGCGTTTGCGAGGGTGCGTTTGCGTGGCTGTTGTCAGCGCCGTGCTCAGATCCAAAAGGCTTTGAGGCTTTTACGTCCTCTACGGTGGCGGTGCGCTGCGAAAGAGCCTGCATGCGCTGTTCATGGAGTGCAAACTGTCGGCTGACGGGGGAAATGTTTTGCAGGTGCGGGTTGATGCGACTCTGTGCGGGCCGCTGCTCGGGTGAAGACAAGCGGGCGCTGAGGGTGACTCGAGGGCCCGTGGCGCCCGAAGGAACGGGGACGGGCCGATTTCGCTCTGTGGGGCGCCTTAGAGGGCTGTGGCGGGGGCTACGACGGGGGCTGTGGCGTGGAGGAGCGAATTGCCGCTGTGAGGGGCCAAACAACTCGGGGGTCCCTGGGGTTGAGCCGGGTGGGCTGGCAGCTGGCGGCGGAGGGCTGGCTGGGGCTACAAATGTTGCCCGGGGTTGGTTGTGTCCAGGCACGGAGGACTGACGGCTGGTCTCAAGCGACGAGACTGGTGCATTGTCCCCAGTGGTAAGTGGTACGCTCGGCACCCTTGTGGCAGCAGCGCTCACAGCTGCAGCAGGACCCTGCAGAGCCTTTTCGGTCGAGCCCGAAACCACTACATCCTTCACCTCGGTTTTTGTTGCTGCTGCTTCTGGTGCTTCTGGTGCTGATGGTGGCGGCGGCGGCGGCGATGAGGATGACGATGGTGATAATGATGCGGACACGGGCACTACCGCCACCCCAACCCCTAGCTCCCCCCGAACCCAGGGCTCATCAAAGTCAAGGCGCGCTCGTTTCGGCTGTTTTGGCGCCCGCGCGCGAAACGGATTTCGCTGCGCCATTGCGATACTCTAAATTAGATCACACTTTGACTTTGAGGTGTAGGTGTGTGTGTGTGTGTAGGTGTGTGTGTGTGTGTGTGTGTGTGAGCTGAAAGGGTCGAGAGTAGAGAGCAGGCAGCAGGAAGCAGGGAGCAGAGAGCAGAGAGCAGGGAGCAGAGAGTAGAGAGCAGAGAGTAGAGAGTAGAGAGCAGAGAGTAGAGAGTAAAGAGTAGAGAGTAGAGTAGAGAGTAGAGAGAGTAGAGAATAGAGAGAGAGAGAGAGAGAGAGAGAGAGATGAATTGGTTTGGTCGGTTTGAGAAAGAGCAAAGGAAAAGCACAACTACCACATAGAGAGAGAGAGAGAGAGAGAGGGAGAATTTCAATGTTGATGTTTTCTTTTTCTCTCTCTCTCTCTCTCTCTCTCTCTCTCTCTCTCACACACACACACATAGAGACGAGAGGTGAGTTTGCGATCGCGTCGATGGGGGCAGTGGGTCGTCTGTGTCTCGGGATCGGATGGGGTGGGCCGTTTGTGCGGGCTTCTTTGTTGATGGTTCTACTTGGACACTCTCCTTCTCCGGGCTACCGACCATCAAATCTCTTTCGATCCGATCGATCGTGGGCTTTGGCGTGCTCGTTGCGTGATCTTTTGCACGCTCCTCGAGGTCGTTTTGTTGACGAGGCACCCTGCTGGCTTTGCCTTTTTTTTTTTTTACCATAGCTGGCCTTGACGTCTCCTAGCAAGAGATATCCATCAACATGGCTATTCAAGCTGGGCCAGTGGTCTGCGCCTTGGCCTTGGCCTTCACCGCTTTGGTGGCAGGTGCGGTGGCCCAACCAGCTCAGCAACTGACCGGCCCTGGCACTTGCGCCAACGGCACTGCCTGCCCGTACCAGTGGGGGCCCGATGGGTGAGTGCAAATGCTCTGCTACATCAATCTCGCTGCACAGCCGAGACCCGCTCGACCCTTCTCCGATCATCTCACTCCACATTGCACCGCCATCTTGCCTCATCCAGATATGGTTGCTGTAACATGGAGGGAGCCGTCTGCTGCAGCAGTGGTGCGTTTTGCAAACTTGAAACTGACCCCGGAAAGACTTGCTCATGGAAAACACATGGCGCACGACCGCGCACTCTTTCCCTCTCTGCTTTACAGGCTACACTTGTTGCCCAGCGAATACCGTGTGTCATGACAATCAGCTGGGCAATGAGTCATACAATATCGTCACCACCTGCGTTCCGACCTCGGGTTAGTTCTACGTCTCATGCTCACCGCCAACTTCCCCATTCTTTCCGGTTGCGTGGTCACATGCAGCCCAGACCCCTCTACCTGCATTGCCTTCCTCACCCGCCTGATCAATCACAGGTGCCAATACGACGGGTCATCAAATTTGCAAGCCCGGCCCGCCTCGCCTTTTTAACAGCAGCAAGACTCGTGTTCTCGTCATTGGCGATTCCGTCTCCATTGGGTAAGTCTCGAACCACCCGACCCCACCCTCGCAGCCACTTGCCGTCATTTCATCCCGGTCTTGATGCCACTGCACGGTTCAGCTACACCCCCTATATCCAGAGTCTGTTGGGTGATGACTATGACGTGATGCATTCCCCCGACGACCACCGTGACGGTGGAGCTGCCGACGCCAACTGTAAGCCCCATGTCTCCTCCCTCCGAGCTCGACTTTGCTCAAAAAAAAAAGCACCTTGGTCATCCAGTTCTCTGCTTGTGCTTGTTGACTCATCCCTGTTGGAATTGGTTGAATGGATGAGACTAGACGGTCGACAATGCCTTGATTACTTTCTGCGCACCTACAGCGGCATGCCTCTCGAGGCAGATCTGGTCATGTTCAATTTTGGACTCCACGATTTGGTGACGGCGGGCAGCCCGGTGGTCCCCGGTGCGTTGCTTTGTCTTGTCTTTGATAAGAGAGAGAGAGAGAGAGAGAGAGAGAGAGGAGAGAGAGAGAGAGAGAGAGAGAGAGAGAGAGAGAGAGAGAGAGAGAGAGAGAGAGAGAGAGAGAGAGAGAGAGAGAGAAGGATATCTTGAGATATCATGATCGTACCTTGTAGTAGCAGTGGCGCGACAAGACGCTCAGGCCACTCGATAGCTTGCTGCTGCTGCTCGTCGTCCCAATGCCTTTGACCAAATGCAGCTCATGCCCGACTTTTCCTGCCGCTCATCTTGCAGGCCAGTCTGATTATTGGTACAATTACGCCGACAACTTGACCAGCATTGCCGAGCACATGGCGTCATGGGCCACTGCCAGCAACACCAAGCTTCTTTTTGCCCTGACCTCGGCTGAGCTGTGCGACGTGGGTCTCGATGACACTGTGCTGCGGCTAAATGAGGAAGCAGCCGGCATCATGGCGCAGTTTCACATCCCCACCGTCAACCTCCACGACCCGGTTCGTCCCTGCAAGCCGGGGTTCAATATCCGCTCCTCCTTGGCCGCCGGGCCTGTTCACTCTTTCATCACTGGGCGTGCCTTGCCGTTGGGTCTACGGGGTTGCTTTTGCAGATTGTGGCCAAATGTGGACCTGTGCCGCAGCAGCAGTGCTTTGGCCTCGAAGGTATGTTGTCCCCCAAACCATGCCGTGTTGTCCAGTGGAAAGGCGTGAGAGACCTGCGCATTTGTGTGCCAAAGGGCATGCAGAGACCACCTTCCGCCCCCTCACCGTTGGCTCCTTGTTCCGTTAGGTTGTTGGTGCCCGCATTGCCCGCCTGGCTACGAATGGTTGGCCAACAGCACGATTGTGCCCGCCATCCTCCAGCAACTCGAGTAGAAGTTGTCATCGGCTCGCGTGCTTGAATTCAGCATCAACAGCAACGAAAGGACAGGCCTTTGGTCTTGTCATTCACAAGCGTGTACTGCTCGGGCTTGCGCTGTCCGTGCCTATCACCTCCTATCCCTCTCTCATCTGTATCCCCACGCCCAACTCACAACGACTGGGGAAAATGCTGAGAGGGAGAAGGTCACGACCAGGCACTCATATCTATCCCAGGTACAGGTACAGGTACAGGTACAGGTACAGGTACAGGTACAGGTACAGGTACAGGTACAGGTACAGGTACAGGAACAGGTACAGGTACAGGTACAGGTACAGGTACAGGTACAGGTACAGGTACAGGTACAGGTACAGGTACAGGTACAGGTACAGGTACAGGTACAGGTACAGGTTTAGAGATGATACAGGTACAGGTACAGGTTTGTAGACAGGTAGCCGTAGAGCTGTGCCCATACGAACAGGGCAAGGAGGAGAACTCACGAAATTGTCAGCCAATCATGACAAGTACTTGTCAGACGGAATAAGTTGTCAGCATGCGTATTGTGTCGATTGGACCCATTTTAAAGTATCGCGCGCGACCTGACAGCGAGAGGAGGGGGCGGTGTGGCTGGATACCAGCTGAGCCCGGCCCGGTGCAAGAAGGTCCCGATAGACCAGGGCCTGGACCTGGACCCTGGGCCTGGCTTTTTGCATGGTATGCATGTGAGTGGGCTGGGTTTGTTGGGTTGGAGGTTTGGCCTTTCTGTGGTTGTGGCCTGCTTCTGAGAAATTGGCCACAGGCGTGCCCTACCGCCTTTTTGGGACCAAAATCCAACCAGGTCAATGGCGGCTCCAACGGCAGCCGCTGTAAGATGGAGGACGTTGGTGATATCGTGCCTGGTCTGCACCGTGGCCTTGCCAGCCTTGGCAACGACTCCCAGCACAGCTCCCGAGCCAGTGTTCTGTACGCCCAACCATCTTAATCCCTATGAGTGCAAGTCCAACGGCACTGTCATCACGCGCATCCCGGCCGGCTTTCTCTGCGAACTCGCCTGTATCTCCAACACCATGTGGTCCCGCGTTCGCTGCACCGACGACGGTTTCTTTGTTTCCGACCCCAGTGGTAGCCTTTGTCCCGCCTATACAGCAGCCGGCTGCACCTACGACCTTGCAGCTGGTGCTCTATCTTGTGATGGGCGAGGCGTTTCACCCGAAGACAAGCTCACAAACCTGATTAGATACAGCGGCCATACCGAGCTACGTTCCTTGGACTTTCAGTACCAGTACATTCGCGCCATCAGCAACAATGATATGCATGGCCTGCGTGGTCTCCGCAAGCTGCGCGTGGCGTCATCGCACATCTCGGCCCTCGAAGGAACCTTGTTCATTACGATGCCCCACGTCCAGTCCATCGACCTTGCCTACAACGTCCTGGATACGATTACCCCCGGCATGATGATGGCCGAGCGCCAACTTCGCTTCATCAACCTCACCGGAAACCCCATCACTGCTATTGAGGCTGGTGCCTTCAACTACTCCTTCTCCCGCAGCTGCAGTGTTTCTTCCACCATCGTCCTCGATGACACCAACTGCTCCTGCCAGGCTGCTCCGGCCCCGCATTGCAATACCCAAACTTGCTCTTGTCTTGGACAGCACATGGGGCCCGCCCCAGTGGTATTGCCGTGCACGCCATCTCTCACCGATGGCCCCGTCTTTGAACAGGCCCAATTGTGCGATGGTGTTCGTGACTGCCCTTGTGGTCGTGATGAGCGGTTCTGCTCCAACCTCATTGATGTGTCTGACAGCCTGTTCGGCCGCTGCTTTGGTTTGCCTGTGGCAGTGGACGTTTCCTACGGCTTGGCTCGCATTTTTACTAATGACTCCAACTACACCACCTCGACCTGCTTCACCGTCCCGCTCACTGGCTTGGGCTGGGGGCTCGACATCTTCACGTTCAATTCCGAGACAGCCACCGCCATCTGGCTTTCAGAGTTCAACATCAACCTCTTGGGTCGGCTTTCCATTCAATTGCTCTGGTACCCCGATGATTCTTGGATCTTCGTCTTCAACGTCACCGACGTCTCACCCCACGTCCAGGAACCCTTGCATCAGGTTCTAGTCCCTGACTTTGTCGCCAACCCCAACGCCTCTTGCGACTTGGCCTCCACAACTGCCACGCCTTCAGAACCGGCTCTAAAAAATGCCGTTTCAAACGCAAGTCCCTCCACGACATTGCTCATTAGCATCAGTCTAGCTGCGCTTGTCGTCCTCGCCCTAGCCACGGCCGTCTTCCTTTACACCCGGCGCAAACCGTAAGTCACTCGACTGCCATTCAAGGCATGCTCCTTTGTTTTGATCTGCTCTCTCAGCTGGGCTGAGCCTTTGGTTTGAGCAACCTTTGCTCTTTTTTTCCTTTTTCTTTGGTCGGCTGAACTACGGACCATGTCGCATCTGCAGGGTCGTGCCCACCTCCAATAACGTCCTCATTTTACAAAAGCGGTCAGTCACCACCCTGCCAGTGTGCAATTTAATGCCCAGGCGTTTTTCTTCACCCCGTTTTGCTCACTTCGGCGCTTGACCACTTTCTTGATAGTATCGAGCAAGGCCTGGCTCTCACAGCTCAGAGTAGTACGCGGTTGGCTGCCACGCGTGCATTTTTGAAAAGCATCGAGTTTCAGCCGAACCAGGTCGAATTTGAGCACGAACTTGGCCACGGTGCCTTTGGGGCCGTTTTTCTGGCCACCTTGCACCAAGGCGAGAAGAGATCAACAGTTGTTGTCAAACAAGCCCACCAAACCGAAGCAACTGCTATTGAAAGTGCCCTACACCTGCTCCTCGAAGCGCACATGATGGCTATTAGCCGCCAACATCCCTGCATCTTGCAGATTTGCGGCCTTCACCTCGGTGATTCCACTCTCACCGCTAGTGAATACTGCGCAGGTGAGCCCAAGTGGCGTGCTTTCGCTGGTTTTTTTCTTCCATTTCACTTTTATCTAAGCCATGCCTTCCACGTTCTTTTCCGTGTCAACCTGGGTGTACTGGCTGGCTAGGTGGTGATCTACTCACCCTCATGCGACGGAGCCGAGCACAGCTAGCCCCACACGGTCAGAGAATTGCCGTAGCCCGCAAAAAGCCGCAGCCTTGTTTCTCTTTTACCCTTTTCTGACCCTATAAAGTCGAGCATGGCTGCTCGACGTTGCCTGACGCCGCGCTTTTGTTCAAACTCAGCGCAGTATGGCTGGACCATCTCCATTTGCTCATCATCGCTCAGCAAGTTGCGTCAGCGTGTCAACACTTGGTATGCTTGCATCAACCTCACTGCCTCATCTGCGCAGACATACTTGCCCCCCAAGCCTGTTCTGTGGATGATCCTAATTCACGAGCCGCTCCCATCACAGGCTTCCCTCAACATAGTGCATCGTGATGTGGCAGCACGCAACGTGCTCCTGCTCAATGCCTATGTGTTAGGCAGTCACATGCAAACGCCTATGGTATGCCTTCGCACCCAGGACCGCAGCCTGCTGCACATGAACACGATGTTGACAGTTTTTGGGCTCTATCACTAGGTGAAGCTGGGTGATTTTGGCCACGCCCGCTTGTTACATTCAGGGGAGGCCACCGTGGCCTCAGAGGACGGCTTTGCGGCTAATCCTGCTCTTGAGGCAGCAGACTACTACCTTCAGCAAAGCACCATCACGGTGGCGAGCCGCTGGCATGCGCCTGAAGTGTTGCGTAGTCAACGCTTCTCCCTCAGCTCGGATGTTTGGAGTTTTGGTGTGTTTCTTCATGAGCTGACCACCCTGGGCACTGTACCCTACGCCGACATTCAATCAGAGCAGGAGTGCATCTCTCGTATTTTACAAGGCCTTTGTCTGCACCCACCGCCAGGCAGCCCGACGGCTGTTGCCCAGGTGAGTGATGGCGATTGCCCCATGAGAGCAGGCAGGCTCGTCGTTGCGTAAAGTCGTGCTTGACCACCTTCTCATGCCTCACGACCTCCTTGCCGCACAGGCCATGCAGCGGTGCTTGAGCAAAGATCCGCACCGGCGGGGCCAGTTTGAAGCACTACACGAGTCATTTCAAGCTGAAATAGCAGAGCGGCAGCAGGAATCTGAACTTTAGCGGTTCCGTGCTGCTATGGCCTGGGGACATTGCGCCAGCACCTGTGCGCCATGCGCCAACGGCAGGTGGGCGCGGCTCAACCAAACTGTGCAGATTGGTACAATAACATGAAGTCAAGCTGATGCAGCCAGGGTCCGCGTCACTGGCTGTTGCTGCTGTGCAGCATGACGATGGCAATGGCGAGAGCACAATGATTTGCCTACAAAAATTTACATCCGGATTCAAGTTTGCGCAGCCACAACTCATATACGATCACACGTCAATTGTTGTTTGGGGTGGGGGGAGGAAAAAAAATGTCTCGGGGTGAGCACGGTGGCCTGTGCATAATTTTCTTGAGTCAGCCCTGCTCCGTGATGTGATAACAACGCGAGCCCGCGGTGGCACCCAAACGGCTGATATGCATCCTATCGTGAGCCCACAAAGAGCGGGGACATTCAAAAGTTTTCGCCTGATGCTACCTTGACCATGTCGTGCATGGCCTACGCGTGGCAACGGATCGGTGAGTCAACAAAGATGGGGTTTCAAGCTGATGAACGTATGCATAGCTCTGCTCAAGCTCAGGCCAAAACTTGCCTTGTCCAAACTGGCGAGGAACTCATCCGACTGTAGGTGGTAGGTCATGAGGATAAAGCGCGCGCCAATGTCCACAATGCCGTAGCCAATGCCATAGCAGTCCTTGTTCACGGGGCCAAAGCCGCCGGCATCGAGCGCCGGGCTTGCGAGAGTGGACGTCGAGATAATGATGTGACCCAACTTTTGATAGGCCTAGTTAACAGTTGCCTCAAAAAGGTAAGGTGGCGCGAGGTGGCAAAGGCGGCCAGTAAACCAGATTCCCAAGTTTGCCGGGCGTGGCTCTACAATGCGCATGATAATGCAACACAGAACTCACAGCATCCTCAAAAATCGCAGGGACAGGGAGTCCTTTGCGCTGGGCCAGTTCACGGAGGGCAAACAAGTGACGATCCCATCCACCACCCAAAAGACCATCCTGCCAGCAGCGACCACATGCCCAGCGTAAGTGACAGCACCCCACAGCAGCCGCAGTACATTGTAGAGGTGGCGAGTAGACAAGGCCCGACCTTGGAGATTTGAGCATGGTTCTTAATGGCGGCACGCATGAGCTTGTCGCGCTCTTCGAGAGTAGCGTTGGGGTCGCAGAAGGCCTTGACAAATTTATCGCTCTCCGGGGTGCAGGAGCGGATGGTCTCGGTACGGCCATGGCGGAAGCCAGCAGTTGAAGCCGACTCATAGGTGGAGGCTATCGAAGGTAAGAGTAGGTCAAAGGTGAGAAAGAAACAAGGGGCTGCTTGGCAAGGATGGCGGACGAATTGCACAAGCGCTTTCGCCACGTAAAGAACAATAATGGGCCACGATGTGGCAGGCGATTCGCACCATTTTCACCAAAGAGACGGTAGTAAGCAAGCTGGAAGGCCATTTGGAGGGTGCCTATCCGAGTCGCGCATCCAGATTAGCCGAGTACCCCCAAATCGCGAACAAATGACATGGACACACGACCATGTAGCTTCACGATACGGAGCTCCTACCATCGGCACCCAGCTTGAGCTTCTTGAGCAGGTCGGTATTCATTGCCTATGTTTGACCAAGGTCAAGATGGATTTTGGTGAATGATTCGCTAGGAAACTTGAAGGAAAGGAACGCACAAGCACGCTTGAGCTTGCAGAAGAGCTGATATGGGCCCCAGTGCTTCACCTGCGTTTGGAGAAGCTTGCAGTCGACCGAGTTGGCAAAAGCATCGAATTCAGTAGCAGCCTTGTTTAGCTGTTGGGTCACAGAGTCGGTAAATTCAAAGTCGAGGCGCTGAGGCTGAACGCCAGCTTGGGGCGCTGGGGATGGGGTCTTGGTGCTCTCTTCATACACCTCGTTGACGTAGCGCAAGACAGCCACACCATCACCCCAGCCGTGCTCAAAGTTGACGCTGGCCTTGGCATTCTTTGTCACAATGAGCTGGAAGGACTTGTCAAACCAGCGGTTACGACCGTCGCCATGAAGCATGCACTGCACACATGCAATAGGGGCACGCATGCGACAAATATATAAGAGGCTGACGAACAGCCGCGTCGAGCAAGCCAAACAGTCCCATGAGTCGGTGCTCGGTACTTACACGCAGCAAGTCGACCCACTGGCTGTCACTAATGTTCTCGAGCTCGGTCATGGGAGCAGGGCCGGCTTCACGGTGCTCGAGTGAGACGGCAAAGAGGGCAGAGTCAATCATTTCCAAGGCAGTCTTGTTCTTGTTGTTCTGAATCAACTCTTGACTATGGGGGGTGGGTATGCAAACATGAGAAAGCATTTGACGGACAGACACCTTATTGGAAAGCATGTGCTCAGGGCGGTACAAAGCCATACCGCAAAGCCGCCCAAGTATCGCGATTGAGGGTAGTGGCTGCACCGAGCGGAGCGCAGGAAGTGTTGGGGGGCTGGGTGGCAATTTGCTGGATGGCAGCGTGGAGCTCAGCTTCGGGGACCGCCGTACCATCCTCCTTGAGCACGGGCACGGCGAAAAACTCGTGGCCGTACTGAACGACCACATGGCTATGACACGTTCACAGTTTCGCACAACATGAGCAGAGGCTCTTACAGATCAACGTGGCAAACTGTGCATGGGCTCGCCAAGGGCGGAAAAGGTTCACGGCTTCTGCCTCTGCAGGGGTGTATCAAATCAACCATGAAACGATGGGGCAAGTTTGGCCTACCGAGCCTGGCTTTCAGGGTAGGTGACATGCTTGTCCGTGCCAGGGCAAGGAACACGCGTGGATGCGAAGAGACGGTTGTACTATTTCAACATGGCGTGGTGTTCAGAGATGAGGGGATAAGGTCGGAATGAGTGGGCGGGCCAGTCAACAGCAAGGCGCGTCATACCTGTGACATGTCCAGGGCATAGGCGCCCGCCAAAAAGCCGATGGCCCAGGAGAGTTTGTCGGGTGCGCCATTGACAAGCTTGGTGAACCAGGGGTGGCGGCTGCGCTTCTCGTTTGTCTCATAGAGATCTAGCAGGAGGATGCGGGCGGGCGTGCCAGGTCTAGTGAGCTTTTGGACGAGCCTGCGCTGTGCACGACTTGCACCAACCTGGCTTGAGCTGCTTGTCTCGCAGCGTGCGATAGAACGCCACCGAGGCATGAATCAAGCTAGCAGTGCGGGCCGCCTTGTGCAGTCAAATTGGGTCAGGGTGAGGGCCCGGCATTGGGTGAAGGAAAAAAAAAAGGTGATGATACGCGGCAAGAGCGAAGCGATTTTATAGGCGACCTGCTGCTGCTTGGCGGTGTCCGGATCATCCTTGAAGGTGAGCTGAGGATTCATGTTGATGGGCAGAGCGTCGCGGTAGTTCATGTACATTTCGTACCAAGGCTTGGCAATGTAGCTCGTGCCGCTGCCCTTGTTCTGTCGTAGAAAAGCAAGCAGCGCCATGAGAAGGAGCAGACCGTTCAGTCACCCGATATCAAGCATTTCCAGTTGCCGACAAAAAATTCAACCATGCCCTGGCACAAGGACGAGGAGCAGGCAATCACGAACCTCGGCTGCCAGCTCCTTGTGCAGCTCGGCACCAACGCCACTGCGAAACTCATCGACCAAGGCCTGGGAGGAAGTGTTACGAGATAACATGAAGGCGATTAGGAGGACGAGCATGGGGGAGAGCTCGTCGGAGGGGCGACACCTCAAACCAGCAAGCAACCCAAAAACAAACCTTGGTCTTGGCATATTGGTCCTCGGAGACGAGAGGTTGAACGGATTTCAAGTACTATCATGCACAATGTGGGAGTTCGTGTGAGGTCTGAGTATCTAAAGAAAAGGATCGAGGAGAGAAGGCTCGGGGAGGGAACGGAGCACTGCAATCGCTCATCGGCAAAGATAACCAGGCAGAAAAAAAAAAAACCGTACTCGCTCAAGGGTTTTCTCCAACTTGGGCAATGGGAGCTGGGGCAGAGATTTTTGGAACTGGTAGGTGGGAATCTCAGTCTAATCAAAGGCACCAGGGCAAACAGCAAGGTTGGATTCCATCAGGCCAGCATGAGATTGAGGCCTTGGGCACTGAAGCACGTGCTTGCGGGTGTGTGCGCAGCCGAGCGCCAAGCGCCGTGCGAAAAGTCGTCCATCAAGCTCTTCCGTGTGCGTGGACATACCTTGTGCAGATAGCCGTCACTCGTCAGTTGGCGGACGGTTCGTCCCAGCACCCGACTCCCCCGAACGGCAGTCGTGGCCGTCGATCGGCCCGCGCGCACCGCTGCCATTTCACTGGAAACGAAGAGAAGGAAAGAGAGAGAGAAGAGAGAGAGAAGAAAGAGAAAACTGTGAGAGAGAGAGTTTGAGAGAGAGAGAGAGTTTGAGAGAGTTTGAGAGAGAGAGAGTTTGAGAGAGAGAGAGTTTGAGAGAGAGAGAGTTTGAGAGAGAGAGAGAGAGTTTGAGAGTTTGAGAGAGAGAGTTTGAGAGAGAGAGAGTTTGAGAGAGAGAGAGAGAGAAAGAGAGTTTGAGAGAGTTTGAGAGAGTTTGAGAGAGACACAGAGAGAGATCAACTTGAGAGAGAGAGAGAGCGAACTGTCTTTTGCTCCAAAAAAAACAAAACCACAACAATGTGCAGCAACAACTACCATGTTTACTACAATAAGAAACATCGTGCAGCAGATTATTCTATCTTTCACGTCAATATGTAACGTTATGAAATTGTGTAAAACTGCAAAAACCTCTATTTTAACAACGTAAACTGTTTAATCGGGAGTTGACAACCTGAACAGATGCTGAATCAACATGTCGTTGATGTTTTGCTCCAACACAGAGGCGGAACCGATGTCGATCCGGCGAGGAGCAGAGGGCTCGTAGAGGATTCATAGGTGCGCAGAAGGCTCAAGGGCTCATAAATGGGTAGAGGGACATGCCTGATTACGCACGCTTTAAGGTTGGCAAGGGAAGTGGGGTATCAGCACCAAAGGTCCGAAAGAAATGGGCGGGATGGGCCATGCGGCAAGACATTCGGCACAAGGAGGGGGGGGGGCTTCCTATCAATTAACCGCTTCACTTCACCCCAAGAGCACGGTGCCACAACAAAATGAGGGAGACCATCACATGCACAATCACTGGTATGCTCTGCTGGTCCGATGCCGCAAAGCCAGGGCGGCTTTGCGTGGGAATAAAAGGATATTTGACCAGACTGCAGGCATGACATGGAGGAAATACCAACTGTCTACAGGATGGCACACCAGCCACCCGGGGGCGCTTCGCGCCAGGGAAAGTATTCACCCATGGGATCGCGACTAATATAATTGCGACCCCAGGTGGTGATGACCTCAAAGTTGCTATCCAGCAGAACCAGACAAGGAATGCCCATGACGCCAAAGGCTTTGGGCAGGTTTTGACGGGCCAGCACGTCCTGGAACTTGATGGCGAGCCAAGGCATGGTTGCAAAGTACTCGGCAAACTCGGGTTCAGTGCGATCCATCGAGCAGAAGATGACCTCAAACTTTTTGCCCGAGGCTCGCAGCGTCTTGTGTGTCTCGGCCAGCATTGGGGTGAACTGGCGGCAAGGGGGGCACCAATGCGCCGAAAAGTAGATGGCAATGACCTCGGCATCAATGTCATCCCGCTGTACCCGCGTACCCTGCGGGCCCAGCAGCTCTGCCGGCACACCCTCGCGATGACTCGTCATCCTGGCGGCACAGCAATCAGCTGGAATTGAAAAAACACATCCCAACCAAGGCCCAAAGAGCGTGAGCCATGAGCGTTGCTCGAGCAAGAAAAAAATAAAAGAAAATCACCCTTGCAAATGCAACAGCACACCCCACAACCTGCCTGCCACATCTCCTTCCCCCGCGAGCACCAGCCATCCATCCATGGACCACCACGCACGTACCCAGAAAAAAAAAAACGAGAGAGAGAGAAAGAGACCCTTTTTCACTCTTTTCTTACATGTGGTAATATTGTTTTCTTTTCTCTTCTCTCTTCTCTCTTCTCTTCTCTCTCTCAAACTCTTCTCTCAAACTCTTCTTCTCTCAAACTCTTCTCTCTCATTCTCTCATTCTCTCTCACTTTTCTCTTGCTGTCGTGGTTCGTTCAATACGAGAGAGCAGACGACGGGGGGCGGAGGGGTTACGGCAGTGGGGTTTGACGTGTGTGTGTCTCTCTGTGTGTGTGTGTGTGTGTGTCTGTGTGTCTGTGTCTGTGTGTCTGTGTGTCTGTGTGCTGGTGTGTGTGTGTGTGTGGGGGGGGGGGGGGGGGGGGGGGCCCCTAAAAAAAAATGTTTTTTTAAA